GCATTTTTCTTGGATAGTGGATCGTGGATAGCCAGAAAATAGAATATTAATGAGCTGCCTAATTTCCCCCCAATTATCCATAAGGCTACTGCCAATTTTACCCAAATTATCCATAAATAACCCTGCATTTTGAAGGAAAATTCGGGAAAATTGAACAATTTTACAAGGAATTTCCACATGGAAACTGCAACCTTCGCAAATCGCAAGTTTATACACAGGGGGCAGAAAAGTACGATTGTGTCTTATAAATACCTTGTCATCAACCAATATCGCATATTTACATCACAACAATTCGCAGACAAAGTCATAAAAGGATCAAAATTAGCTGATTTTTATATTTTCGATAATATCATGCCTTCTACTTCATGTAATTCAAACATCATTGCATTGCAACGACAATTTCCGAACATCTTACGAAAGGATGCCGAGGGTGTAGCCCGTACATAAATAATAAAGGGATGAAACGCCGAAAATCTTTCGTTCGATGTGCACCGCAACCAGCCTAGACCTTACCCTGGTTGCCAGAGGTTCTGTATCTTTCGCCTTATTCCCGCTCGTATATTTATTTTACGCGAGGCGAAGAGAACCTCTGGTGGCACGCGATACAAATCTCTCTTCCATGCTGACTTTGCCGTTTGAGAACTTGCAAAACTACGGAAGCCCGGAAGGGCCATACGAATATTGCTTTCAACTTTCTGAATCGCGCTTAATAATTTGTTTGAATCGCGATTAACTTTCGAACGTTGCTAACTTATAGGATCGTGTTGAGTTTTTACACGACTTTTTTCTCGACTTTTTTCTCGACTTTTTGCACGACTTTTTTCTCGACTTTTTGCACGACTTTTTTCTCGACTTTTTGCACGACTTTTTTCTCGACTTTTTTCTCGACTTTTTGCACGACTTTTTTCTCGACTTTTTTCTCGACTTTTTGCACGACTTTTCCACCATATTTTTGCTAGACTGTTGCTCAAGTATTTTAAAAACCGAATATCCAAGCGATATATACAGTCGACTATAAAAATGTATCTTGTGCTGTTCTTATTTTTGCCATTATATCTGAGATGCGAAGCTGTTTTACCTCCTTATTTGCCTATTCTGGAAAATAATAATTTTGAGCGTGTTGATTTAATCGAACAATACTTTCACATGGGCCTTGGTTACAGCGAAATTGTACTGTTTTTGGGTTTATTGCACGGGTACATTTTGAGCATTCGTCAGCTGAAGCGAATCCTACAACAACGTGGTCTTGGAAAACGAAGAAATCGTTCCAACATTGAAGAAGTTTACCGAGCAATCAGAAGAGAATTGCGTGGTAGCGGAAGCATGATGGGTTATCGACAAATGACTAGACGATTACTACACGGTCATGGTGTGGTTGTTGACAAAGAAACTGTGAGGGAACTTTTGAAGATTTTGGACCCTGAAGGAGTTGATGCCAGGTCAAGACATCGATTACAAAGGAGACAATATAAAACGGAGGGTCCAAATCATGTGTGGCATATAGACGGCTATGATA